AGGGTGAACATGATCTACTTATTATTTTAGATATTATTTTAAATAGGTGAAGCGAAAACATTATTTATACATGTATTAAGTATTAAATACAATGTTTTAAAACATGGTTTTATTATTTGTTAATACCCATATACCCTCTTTATTTTTATTAGTTACAGAATAATTCTGTGCCGAAAACGAAAGCAAATCCGAAATTCGTAACTAATACGTAATATATTTTGGATATTTTGGAAAAACTTACTAAAATGATTACCAAAGAAAAACAGGATTACCGATTACCATTGAAAGTCACGGTAGCTATTAGGAAAACTAAAGATGGTAAACAAAAAAAAAAAAAGGAAAAAAGACCAGTTTAAACCAGTATCAGACCGCATATGTAGTATCAGGTTCAAGGGAAAATACCAAAAAATCACCCTCATAAATATTCACGTGCCTTCAGAAGAAAAGATAATGATGTCAAAGAATGTTTTTACAGTGAATTAAACAGAACGATCGAAAATATACCCAGATATGATAGGAAAATTATTCTAGGCGACGCAAATGGCAAAATAGGGAAGGAAGAAGTATTTAGACCGACAATAGGAAAATATAGTAAACACAATGAAACTAATGAGAATGGACAATTCCTGATAAATTTCGCAAGAGAAAAAAATATGATCATAATGAGCACATATTTCGAAAGAAAAGAAATACACATGGAAACATGGATATCGCCAGATAGAAAGACTAAAAACCAAATAGACCACGTGCTCATCGAAAAAGAGGAACAGCAATGTATAAAGATAAGAACATACAGAGGACCAGACGCTGACTCAGATCATTACATGGTGGGCATCAAAATTAAGCAACTGATACTAGAAAACAAAAACAAAATAAAACAAAAGAAATGTATACATAACCCAATTCGATTAGCAACAAAGAAAGAGCAAGAAATATACGAGGAAACAATGGAAAGAGAACTAAAAAAGATACAAATAGAAGAGCAAACTGAGAACAAATGGGAAAACATAAAGCAAATAGTGAACAAAGCAGCAAAATAATGTTATAAACAAGAGAATAAAAAGATGAAAGACTGGTTCGACATAGAGTGCCAAAAAGAAATAGAACTAAGAAAATCATTAAGGATGGAAATGATCACGAAAGAAACAACAGAGACAAAGAATAGATATAGGGAGCAAAGACAAAAAATAAAGAGGGTGCTGAGAGAAAGAAGAGAAAACACTTAGAAAATAAGCTAAAAGAAAGAGAAGAGAATTACAAAAATAAAAAAATAAAAAACCTATATCAAGGTGCTAGAAATTAAAAAAAAAGGTTTCCAACAAAAACCCTTATTCGTTAAAAACAAAGCAGGAAAAATAATAGATATATATTACATTCCAAACTATTTTGAAAGAAACTCTTTTTTTGTTTCGTCGATTAGTTTGACATATTGTTTCTTTATTTCTTTATATTTTTAATGAATGTCTATATTTTTATATATACGTATACATAACTTGTATACATAACTGGAAATATTCCCTCCCCAAAGCTGGTTAAAGGCAACCTTCGTAACTATACCAAAAAAATTAAATGTAAAAACATGCGAAGACTACAGAATAATTAGCCTAATGATACTAACAACGACTACTTCATCCGACTAGACGTGACGAACTAAGCGTTTTGTGTGTGAGATCAATGAAAGAGGCGATAGATTATACCAGTTCTGTCAAGAACATGACATGATAATCGCAAATACATGGTTCAAATTACACAAAAGAAGGTTACACACATGGAGATGACCAGGAGATAATTCACTACATATGATTAGAAATCAGATAGACTATATTCTGGTAAACAAGAGATTTAAGAATGGCGTCACCAGAGTAACGACATATCCTGGTGCAGATATCGGTTCAGACCATAACCCTGTAATAACTGACATCAAAGTGAAGCTCAAAAAAGCCCAAGAAAGCCCCAAAACACCAAAATTAAATATATCAATATCTAACAAAACGTTAATAGAAAATGACAAACAATGAGCTAAAGAAACCAATAAATGAAAACAACACAGAAATATGGAACACATTTAAAGATCTTACCTTGAAAGTAATAGAAAAATATTCAACAAAGTTACACAGGCAAAAAAAGACAACAATGGATGACTGATGAAATCCTGGAATTAATGGAGCAGAGAAGGAAACTGAAAGGTAACTGAAAGTAAATAAGGCAGAATATAAGGAAAAACAGAAACTAATTAAAAAATAAAGGTGGCTAAAGAAACATTGATGGAGGATAAATGCAAGGAAACAGAAAAGTTGAATGAAAAACATGATACGTTTAATATGTTTAAAAAAGTTAGAGAAGTAGGTGGTCTTTATCATAAGAAAACTCCACATACTATAACCGATTCGTCGGGAAAAATAATAATAGACTAACATGAAATTCGAACAACCTGGTGTAATTATATAAGTGAACTGTATAATGATAGACCCGAAGAACCGGAGACTTTAGTTGAAGGTGAAGGACCAGAAATACTAAAATCAGAAATACTGCATGCTATAAAGTTAGCAAAGAACAAGAAAAGCCGTTGGCCCTGATAACATACCGACAGAGATGTTAAAGCTTATAAATGAGGAGAACATTGGAATACTGGTCAAGCTTTGAAGATTGGTTAAAGTCCGAATTCATAACACTACCACAAAAACAACGTCCGAAAAACTGTAGCGATTATAGAATGATAAGCCTTATGAGCCACACTTTGAAAATATTTCTGCGCATCATCCACAGTAGAATCAGAGATAAATGTGAAGAAGACCAGGATAAAACACAATTTGGCTTCAGAAATGGACTGGGAACTCGGAACGCCTTCTTTGCACTAAACGTATTACTGCAGAAATGTCGAGATCAAAGGAAAGACGTCTTTGCCGTATTTATTGACTATGAAAAGGCTTTTCATCGAGTACAGCATCACAAATTAATTACAATATTAAAAGATAAAGGAGTTGATAGTCAAGACATACGATTCATAGAAAAGTTATAGGTACTGGCGTCAAACAGCGACAGCTTGCATAAACGGAAAATCAACAGAAATATGTAAAATACAAAGAGGTGTCAGACAGGGTTGTATACTATCCCCACTGTTATTTAAATTATGTTCAGATAAAATATTTAAAGAAGCGCTGCAAAATTTGGAATGGGGCCTGAAAGTTAATGGAATTCTGATAAATACAATCAGATATGCAGACGATACAGTTATTTTAAGTGATAACATGAATGGACTACAATGACAAATGCCATTGATACAGTGGGAAGAGACATAAACTGTTCAAAAACAAAACACATGGTGCTTAGCCGTTCAGCACATCAAGATGCACGATTATATGTTGATGGTCATATAATTCAAAGAGTGTCCAGTTTTAATTATCTTGGTTGCCATATTACTGAACAACTAGATCCAGATCAAGAGATAAAATGTAGAATCGAGATAGCCCGCACGACATTTTTAAAAATGAGGTCATTCTTCTGTAATGATAACTTGCAACTTCAACTTCGAAAGCGCATGGTTAAATGCTACATTTGGTCAGTGCTCTTAGACGGTGTCAAAGCATGGACATTAAAAATATCCACCATTAATCGTCTGGAAGCCTTTGAAATGTGGCTGCACAGACGTATACTAAAAATTCCATGGACGGCTATGCTGACAAATGTGGCAGTCCTTGAGAGAGTAAATGCTGCTTGCGAGCTGCTTGATAACATCAAGTGTAGAAAGATGTAATATTCTTTAACGTATTATGATCGTAAAATCGAAGGACGCAGTGAGATTGGTAGAAAGCAGGCCTCTTGGTTGAACATATCAATATCAGGGAGTGGACAGGAATAAGGAAAGCTGAGCAACTCTTTAGAATAGCTCGAGACAGAGACAGTTTCGCCATGTTAATCGCCAACGTCAAGGGGACTTGATAGGGCACGTTAAGAAGAAAAAGAACACAGAATAATAAACAATTGTTTATTATTCTGTGCCCATAAGCATTGTTTCTACTTTTGGGAAAGTGATTGAAAAGGCCATCAAACAAGGAACTTGAACGCGGCAATCGCATAGCAATTTCTCTCTCTTCACACTGTGTTTTTAACCAATTTTCTTTGGTCTTTCGTATTTCGGTTCTTATTTGTCTTTGAATATTTTTGTACATTTTTTGTTAATATTTAATTTTCTTCTTTCTTCCATGAGTTTCAGTAAGTTGTCATTCATCCAACTTATCCTCTTCTCTTTATTTTCTATTAGATGTTCTTTTCTGATCTTGTTAAAGGTTTCACTACAGAATACACTACCCAACTTGGTGCTTGGATGCTGTATTCGGTAGTTTTCACATATATTTTGGAGTGATTCTTCTGGATCATAATTTAAAGCTTATTGAACAACATATTTTAATGTACATATAATGCATTTTACACGATCACTATATTTACATTCAATGATTTTGAGGCTTTGAAGTCGATTAATTATTTTCGATGACAATTCAAATCATAATTAGCATATTGGTATCCAGGTAGATTATAATTTGACGTAAATAAAATTTGACCTTCCTTCAAGCATATATTTAATAATTTTCTAAGAAATCATGGACGTATCATTTCCATACCAGAAGAAACGAAGTGAATTTGGAAGGCAATGTCTATTTTCAGACAGAGGACCTGAATTAATAGACAACTTTCCTTCATTTAGGAAATTATACAAAGAATTTATGTTAAAGTACAATATTAATATTATTTAACAAAAGACAACCCTTAACTTTTGCTATTACAGAGATCCTGTGACGCGCTACCAACAATGCGCACCGGTACAAGCGGAACATTATTTGAATACTATGAGAGCGGAATTTGCAAATGTTAGTATCAATCATGTTGAAGGAGGATGGCCCAAAGACGTTAATATCGCAGATGAAGAACAAACTAAGAGGTATCGGCGCAAAATTGAAAAAGATGAACAATTTTACAATATTATGATGAACTTATTTAAAGTAAGAATAACCGTATAGTAAATCTCCTCTCTTTTCATTTAACTCCAGAACACTAAAATTAATTTTCACTCCTGTAGACATAACCATTCGTAATATTACGATTTTTTTTTTCAATTCCAAAAAAGTAAAACAAATAATTTTAATTAATTTTTTAAATGAACAAGGAAACATTTATATAGGAGAAGGATAGGCAAGTCGAGATACTCGAAGGTAAAATCGATTTATTTTGAAAAATGTAAAAGTTATCATTAGACTTCGGCAAATATGCATATTGCATATTTTGCATATTGTGCATATTTTATGCAAATATTTCATATTTTGGCATATTTGTATAAAAGTTTGCATAAAGTGCATAAAAGTTCAGATTTTTATACTGTATTTGAAAATTTTTAAACATACCAATTTATTTCAATTCTTGTATAAAATTTTGTAGTCATTTTAATCAAGAAATGATCTAAGTACGTAATCTCTACAGGTACAAAACATTTACAATTTCAAAGAAGATCAATTTAAGTAGCCCTCAACATTCTTAGAAAGTCTCGGTCACTGAGGCATTCAGTTATTGGATAATCGCTAAGGGTTCGCTCATTTGCATTTTATGATCTAATCCCCAAATCTATCTACAATTTATTGTATCTTAACAGCAGGTAAACGGCTAATAGTTTTGTTCCTAATTTAGGGATTTTCCAAAATCTCCCAGTTTATTGAATTAGGTACCTAAACATTTCTAATTTGATGCTCAGATTTGTAAATCATTTTTGTTTTGATATTCAAAGCGTAAACACTCGTTGTGCGTAACAAAAAGGAAGATTGTGATTTTATAATGCCTAAAACAACCAGTGCTTCAACTTGGATTAAACCTTATAAAGAGCTGTCTATGGATATGGGAAAAATCTACTGTTCAGTCTGTGGCAAAATTGTAAGTATCTAATATTTTCTATTAAATATCTAATATTTCATACATACAGGGTGTTTCCAAATGACACTTACAACGTTTGACTGTAGATACTTCTCGAAAAATTGAACAAAACGATATAGTTAATGAGGGGTCAAACTTATTTACTTTTCGAGATACAGGGTGTTAAAATTAAAAAAAATTAAATTCTTTTAGTTAATAACAACAATAACTTTAAAACCAATAAACGTATTTACTTGAAATTTAGTACTCGTAGGTTGTTTTTAAATGAAAAATAGCTTCCTTTAGTGAGAAAAAATTGTCCATGGTACAATACAATGGTGTGTATTTAGAAAAATTTTTCACCTTTACTTTTTTTATGAAGTCAGCTATTCTAAAACACAATTATTTTTATTGTAATTGAATTAACAAAAAAAAACTTTTGTTGAATTTTAAAATAAGTTATATGATGTACTAATGGTTAGTAACAAAAACTAATTTGTGGATTAATACTGCATTTAAAACACTTAGCGAGTGTTTTTTTTTCCAAACCAGTTATTTGATTAACCAAAAACACCTTGTATATTTTTATATTTTAAAGGTTGGGTTAAAATAAAGGTTTTTATTTTTATTTATAGATAGCATGTGAGAAGAAATTTCAGATAGACCAACATGTGAGAACTGCTTCACACATTGCAAAAAAAGGAAAAATAGGAGGAAAACATCAAACTTCAATGGCTAAATGTTTCCAATCTACTTCAAAAAAATTAGATGAGCAAGAAACTTTTAATGAAGACTTGTGTCGCGCATTAGTGTCTGCAAACATACCGCTTTCAAAATTAGCAAATGTAAATTTTAGTTCGTTTCTAAAAAAATATTGCAAACTTAATGTTCCAAGTGATCGGTCTCTAAGAAGAAATAATGTGAACGGGCTATACTCGTCGGTGTTAATTAATATTAAGGAAGAAATTGCAGATAATTATTTTTACATATCTGTAGACGAAACCACTGATTCCTCAGGAAAGTATATTGCTCATTTATTGATTGGTGTTCTTAAAGAAGATACCTTACCAAAATCTCATCTTATTTCATGCCAGCAACTTGAGAAAACAAATGCTTTAACAATTTCGCGTTTTATACAAGAAACATTAGCAACTTTTTTTCTTCCGACAACTATTCCTTCTAATAAATTACTGCTTATTTTATCGGATGCTGCTCCTTATATGGTGAAAGCAGGACAAAATTTAAAAATATTTTTCCCAGATTTAATACATGTTACTTGTGTAGCGCATGGATTAAACAGAGTTGCAGAGGAAATACGAAAAAAGTTTCCTCTTGTAAATACCATGATATCCAGTGTCAAAAAAGTATTTCTTAAATCTCCTATAAGAATTCAACTTTATAAAGAAATGCTACCTAACATTCCTCTTCCACCACAACCTATTTTAACGCGATGGGGAACATGGTTAGAAGCAGCTAATTTTTATGCAGATCATTTTGTTAAAATAAAGAACATAATTGATACGTTAACAGATGAAAGTTCCCAATCTCTTTTGGATTCTAAACAAACTTTTCAGAGTAACTTGCTTCAACAAGAACTTTCATTTATAAAATCAAATTTTAGTTTTGTTCAAAAAACAATTACTCAGTTAGAATCACCAAAACTGTCATTGTTCGAAAGTACAGCATTAATAAAAGAATTTGCGTCATGTTGTCGGAACGTTAGAGGTAATATTGGAAAAGATATTTTAAAAAAATTTGAAGCTACTATGGAAAAAAATAAAGGTTACCATATTCTTTCTGAAGTAGTCAGTGTTCTAGCTGGAAATATTTCGGAAACAATTAATTTAGAACCAAATGTTTTGGTTAGTTTGAAAAATGCTCCCGTTACATCAGTTGATGTTGAACGAAGTTTTTCCATATATAAATATATGTACTCAGACAGAAGCCACAAGTTTTTGTTAGAAAATTTTGAACACCACTTGGTCATTTATTGTTACCATAATTCTAAATAAGTTTATTCATACTTAAAAATGATGTAGTTACTTAAAATAAATGTAAATCTTAATGAATAGTAGGAAATATTTAGTTATGTACACTTTTTTTTTTAAATAAAATTGTTACTATTTTACGATTTTTTTATTTATTTGTATGCATATTTTGTAAAATATTTGCATATTTTCGGGTAAACACGTGCATATTTATGCGCATATTTTCTACATTTTATTTGCACATTTGCCGAAGTCTAGTTATCATGAACTAAAAAGCGCCATAATACAAACAGAACATTCTTTTTTAATATTTATCAAGTGAAAAACAAAAACAGAACTCCATTTTAAAACTGTAAATGTAAAACAAAAAAGAGTCAAAATGTCATCTTGCCCTACCCTAGAAGGGAAGACGGCACATACGTGGATTTATACATAAAGTGATTAATTATCAAAACATAATTCACAAATAAAATTCTTAGCCTTCATTGATAGTCCCGCATACTCTGCATGAGCCCACATTCGACACTTTTGGCAACGTAACCAGCCTTCTTGAGATTTGGATAGGCTATATAACTCATTGCAATAGAGGTAGTATTTACATAAACCATTATTAACGTGCAGCTTCATATGATAAATATTTTTCAAATATATTAAATATTTATTGAATTCTTTTAGAATATGGAGAATTGTATATTGCAAAATAATGCTTTGAATATATATCAACAGTACTTCTCCGACGTAGAAACAATCCTACCGGTTAAACGAAGCTCAGCCAGAACAGTTAATGTCTATCAGGATCCGTCATTACCTACAAGACCTATCACACATATTTCTTGGTCTCCAGACAACCAAACCAAGTTGGCTATAGCTTACTGCAATCTGATATTCAAAACCACGTACCTAAACAAGCAAAGGTTTCGTACATATGGGAAGTAGGTAGGTAATTAAGTGATGGATTATAGTAACATATTTCACTTTATAGACAACAAGTTTAAAGCATCGAATTTGACATTTTACTCTTTACTTTTGTATTTTAATGTAATATCTTTATTTAAAAGCATTCTGTGTAGCTTATACATAGAAGGTGACTTTTTCTAAGACTTTTTTTGACATTTTATTAAGAGACAAGAAACATCAATGCGCACAATTATCCGCCGTGCACCATTAGTTGGACTTTTCCCTACGCATTTCCAAACTGAGTTAAAGATTATGAATTTTTAAAAAAAGTTTCTGTAGTGTGCAACTTGTATTGAAATAATCTGTTCATAAAGCAACTTCTCAAAAAGTTTGGTCTTCCACATCGATATTTTGTAATAATACATTGCTATTTCAAATTTACAGACTGGAAATGTTTATCTGAAATTATTTCCTCCTGACGTAGAAACTGTATATGAGATTATTGTTAACTTTAAAAATTGCAATTTATATTGGATAAACTGATTTTAATGTTTTTATTAATTTAATGAATTTATTATTTAATTTAATAGAAAATCCTAACAGACCCTTACATATTTTAAAACCGGATGATTATACGGTATGTCTGGAATATAACCAGAAGGATCCGCATATTTTGGCTAGCGGTCAATTTGGCGGTCAAGTTGCTGTATGGGACGTGCGTAAAGGTATGGAACCAGTTGAAGTGAGCGTCAAAGAGAACAGTTTTATCGATCCTGTACAGAAGCTGCTTTGGATACATTCCAAGACAGGAACAGAATTTTTTAGTGCATCCAGCGATGGTGAAATAAAATGGTAAGTACCTTTCCTACACAGTTTATGACAGTTTGCAGTCGGTCTGACTGCAGCCCTAATAGGAGTCTTGGGACTCCTACTACCCATTATTCATCTTTACCTTATTTTCCTCAAGTTACTGAGAAACTTATTAAACTGTATAAACAGAATAACAGTACCTGTAAAAATTGCTGTCAAAAATGCTAAGACTGTTGAAGAAATTTGTTCTCAAAAACTAAAACACCCTTGTCCCTTTTGGAACAGTTAACACCAGTTATCATATACCTTGTGCTGAGTGTAACTCATGTTACATCGGTCAGACTGGGAGATCACTGAAAGGGCGTCTTCGTATTCAATACTTAAATACAGTAATGCTCTCAATAAGAGAACAGACATTAGTAACTTGAGCCAAATATATCATGCTTTAATATTAGAATAGTGCTTAATAAGCTATTTACTTTATAATTGTCCTTTAAGGTGTACAGTTTATTATATTTTCTTATTAAATAATTTAAAATACAAATTAAACATATACAAACATATTAAAATAAATTTAAAATATAAAATAAATTAATATTTCTTACTTACATCAACTTAATCTTATGCAATTTACATTACTTTAACGTACTTACCTTTCTCGTACAAAATCCAATGTCATACATTCTTTTCTGTAAAATATCAAACAAAATTTCTGATTTTGGTAGAATAAACCTCAAATAAACTTAAACAGAAATTAAAATCAAATTCTTGCAAGATAATCTTTCGAAAGGTAAAAGGTATAAAGGTAAAAAATCTTCGAACAAATTTGTGTCTCTCCATCGCATGTTGCTGTGTAAGTATGCATTTCTTTAAATAGTTCGAGAAGCTCTGAACGAATACAAGAAACAACTTCAACGAATCTACGAGCATAAATCCACCTTGTGGCTGCTATTAAATATTTAATTTATCCAAAGCAGCAGCGATTTTGGAGATGTTGAAAAAATGCAGCAAGCCCTATTAACGTTTATAAATAATTTACACTTTTTAATATATACCACCGATTACTGTAAAACCAAATTGAGTCTATGCGCACAACAATAACAAAAATTGCGTTTTGAAACTTATCTCTAACCAGTTTTTGTAGGGCGTTGTGTTGCCCACTGATTACAGTCGAACCATCGTAAGTCTGTGCAATTTGTTTATTTTTACACTGAAACTCATTTAACAGACCGAACAAAATTTGCGATAGCAGTCCCGCTGAACACTCTGCACTAACATTGGGCAAATTATATCTAAATACAACAGAAAGTTATGAATAATATATTAATATATCAGCTACAAAACTTTAATTTCATCAATCATAAATGTAGATATGGCTTCAACAATATCGTTTTGTACATCACTTGAAATCCCAAAAAAAACAGTATGTTTCTAGATGTTGGCAAAATGTTTGATCTTTTTTTGCAATTAATGTTAACAATTTCCTGAAATTGCCTCGATTGTCAGTCAGGAAAGGATTTTCTAATTTCTTCCACAATTATATTAACACCATATAGGTACATGTTGAAGTTTTAAATAAAATATTTTAATATTTTCTCCTGCTTTGAAAAACTTTTCGCAAGGAATAGGATCTGGTCTAAAGAAATTTGCTCATTCTTATAGTGTTTAATATCTGATATGTTATGGTGTTGCTTCTGAGTATTTTCCAATACGACGTAGTATCTACTTTATTCCACTTGAAATTACATTATTTTCAAAAACATGTCAAATATTTTAGGTGGGACACCAGAAAACTATCCGAGCCCACAGACACCCTTATATTAGACTACGCCAAAGAAGAAGAACAACAGTTTTCAAAAGCTTTGGGCGTTTCTGTTCTAGAATATGAAGTGACCATCCCAACAAGGTTTATGGTTGGCACGGAACAGGTACCATTATATTTGGAAATCGAAAGGGAAAAACAGCAATAGAGAAAATGGTGGGTAGAATTCCAAATGCTCATATGGGACCAATCGTAGCCCTCCAGCGAAACCCAGCCTTCCCGAAGAATTTCTTGACCATTGGCGACTGGACTGCTAAAATCTGGACAGAAGATTGTAGAGAGAGCAGTATCATATGGACTGGTTTCCATAAATGTGCTTTAACAGATGGTGCCTGGAGTCCTACTAGGTATCAGTATCATCATAAAATAAAATAATATATATATATACATATATATTTATATATTTATAATAATATAATATATAAATATATATATATATATATATATATAATATATATATATATATCATCATCATTGGCTTTTACACAACTCTTCGTGAGTTTTTGCCGCGTTTACTAATTGCCATCCATTGATTCCGCTCCTGTACTATTATTTCCCATGGCCTTACTTCCATCTTCTCCAGGTCTTCCCTGACAGCGTCTTTCCACCTTTTCTAGGCCTTCCTGTCGATCTTTTACCATCTGGTCTTTCCCAAAATACATTGCTAATCAGTCTGTCGTCATCACTCCGTACCAAGTGGCCTGCCCATCTTAATCTATTGGCTTTTATGTATCTTACGATGTTGCCTTTCCCGAAGAGAGTCCTATTTCATTGTTGTATCTGCTCCTCCATTCATTTGTCACGCTGTCCCTGCAAGGACCATATATATATTATATATATACTATATATATATATAAAATATATAATATATATAATAATTTATATATATATATAAATATATATTATAATAATTCAGGGCACCTCTCAGGCACCTCTTACTCTGGCGTCATCTTCGTTGCTCCAGGATCTTCAGCTTGTCCTCTTTTCTCCTTTCTATGGGGTTCCATTCGGTTATTCTCTTTATTCATCTGCTGTCGTTTGTTCTTTTTACATATTCATAAAACTTTAGCCTTTTTTTTCTATATACGTTTAGATGTCTGTTTCTATTAATGTTCTTTGCTTTATTATGTCATTCTCCTATCCATTCTTGTTACTCTGCAGCATCTTTGCAGGCATTCCATCTCTGTTATATATGTCTATATGCATTTAAATTATCATCTCGTTGATTGACTCCCATGTTTTAACCCTGTTCTTTCACTTATTTTTCATTAGTATTCCCACTCCTGCCTTTGCTCTACATTCCTTATTAACTCCGCTCCAACAGTGGATATGGTCTTCAATTGTTTTCGTTCCATTTCCTTTCTTTTTGGTTTCTGTTGTTACTAGTAAGAGTTGCTTTATCTAAACTCCTTGATTACTTCCTTGAGACTTCCGTCCCCTTTTTGTTCCATCCTTGTATATTCCACGTTGCACATATATTTTTTATTACAGTACAGTCTAGCTACCTAGAGTAGTGTGTGTGTGTGTGTGTGTGTGTGTGGTGTGTGTGTGTGTGTGTGTTGTGTGTGTGTGTGTGTGCGTGTGTGTGTATAATTGTCTTGATACTTAGCAAAGTCGACGTCATTTGTCTTGCTAAGAGACGCTAATTATATCCGAACGTCTGCGGTCCCTCCGGTGAGTACCGATCGCACAAGGATAGAAATTATTTTTATTCATTAATTTTTAATAAACGAAAATTTCTCCACCCAGGGGAGATTAGAACTCACGACCTTTAGGTTTAAAGGTAGGCGCTCTTACCACTGAGCCACAGAGGGGGTCGTTGCACATATTAATGTGTGTATCTTATCTTCGTTTTGATTTTTGGTTGAGCTTTGATAAGACTTTGTCATCTGAACTCTTCGCAACATCTTCCAACACCATACCCGTATCCGATGGTGTGGATTTCCTTCCGGGGATGTGTTTCCGTATTTTGGCTTTTTCATCTTGCGATTTTCGTTCTTCTTACCCTTACGTTTTTCTGTGTGTTCGGTTGCTAATTGCTAACGCCACAACCCGCGTTTGGTGGACCTTTTCTTCAGCTGCCCATTCTGGATCAGACACTGTTGGTTCCGCTTCCGCCGTATTCGACCATTGTGACTTTTCTAGCCATCCTCTGCTCTTGAGACCGTTGACCGGTTTTCGCCTGTACCCTAGGCAGGGACTTTCACAGGTTACTTTCAGGAGGTTCAGCTGAACCCTGGTTTTTTTAAGAGGTGTTACTCCTCTGTCCCTTCTCTTTTATCCGGGCTTGGGACCGGCTGCATCGATTATAGAGCTACTCAATTCACTCAATTCAATATCTATATTAATTTGGTTAAAAAGAAATACATAAAAAAATTACAATAAATTTGCAATTGATTATGAATGAGTATTTTTATTTGCAATGGAACAGCAAATTAAATTATATATTTAAAATTAAATAAAAACCAATTTAAAATGGGACGATCTAATTTCCAAAAATAGCCATGAGGAAAAAACAATTATTCTTGTATATGAAACCGACATCAGTTTAAAAAAATATGGAAATAACTACCACGTGCCTACCGTTTTAATCGCTTCCTTGTTTTTGAGGTTGTCCTGCTACAATATGTACTATAGTCACCAAAACGAAGAATATACATACAGTGTTAGTCTAAAATCTCCTTTTCCCAACATATTTTTTAAACATCATAGAACTTACATTAACATTTAACGCCACCCGAACGCAAAATAAGTGTCAAAGTTAGATAATGAAGAAACTAAGAAAATATTGATTATATTGATTTAATTTAAAGTTAAAATGTAAATATTTTAAAAATAAGATGTTAACAAAAATTTTTGAATAAAAGGGAAATCATGTAGACTCATATTAAAACAATAGCCATTACTAGATTTATTTTTTTTAACAAATTATCGAAAGAAAACTTGAGAAAAATGTTACTTAACAGGTTTTTTATAACCCATTGGCAAAGAAAAAGTTATACTTGGATACACTCGGACTGAAGATAGAAAAACTATTTAAATTGTCAAAAGTTTTAATAACAGCAAAGGATCAGTAAGTAATATATTGAACAAACGAACTTGCAAATAGGGAATAATTAAATATTCACTTCGAATGAAGTGAATGGTAAAACAGATGATAAATTGGAGGAATCCATTGAAGACAAGACAGACAGACAAGACATGTTGCTAGTTTCGGCTCTTTAATGGGCAAAGCTTGTGGATACTTTATCGACAATTCCATTGGTTTTCCATTCCGTTCCAAGTTGATCGGTCTGGAAAGTCCTGAATTTAGACTAGTTACAACGAAAGGTCTTTCTTTTTGGCTCCATTTAGAATCCATTCCCAATCACTGGATTAAGAGACTGCCGCATTCGTTTTTTCACGAGGGCAAAATCCCTGTCACTAGATAACACAGTATGACCTACCTGTGGAAAAACATAAACAATTATTTTGAATCTTCCAGAAGCTAATAGAGGTAACCAAAATCGCACGACTGTCCAATTTTTATTGTGTTATCTGATATGACAAAGTATTTCTCCGTGGATATCAAAATTTTCAAAACACTTGTTTAAGCAAATGGGAACTTTATCTGACCCTCATTTAGTGATTCCTTCATGCCAAAGAAAAAATACCATATCTTCAGGTTGATTGCAGCAGTTCTTCTTCTTCACGTGCCATCTCCGCTACGAAGGTTGGCTATCATCATAGCAATTTTGACCCTGGAACAATTGTATGGAAGTGCAAGCAAACACACCCTGAGTTTCTCAACCATGACATCTTCACCTACCTACCTATGCTGCGCCTACCTTCAACCTTTCCTTGCATAATTAGTTGTAAATCAGTTTGATATTTATTCCCACGTGTAATATGTCCCAGTATTATAGTTTCCTCATTTTAACACTCAATACGACCTCCTTTTGTTTATTCATCCTGTCTAATACAGCTTGGTTAGTTATCTTATCCTTTCAGGAGATTTTTAACATTCTTCGGTACGCCCAAATCTCAAATGCCTCCAGCTTACCCATACATTGCTTATTTAGTGTCCACGCCTCCACTCCGTATAACAGGACCGAGAAAAAATAACATTTAAGCATTCGTATTTTCAGCTTTAGGCTTAGGTTTCGGCTACACAACATTCGTTTCATGTTGTTAAAAGCACTGCGGGCTTTCTCTATTCTTATTCTTATTTCTCTGGTGTATTCGTTTGACTAGTTAATATTTGTTCCGAGGTAATTGTAATTTTGTACTCGTTCAATGAGATTCTGTCCTACATGTAAGTTGATATTATTGATACGTTTCTTTGTAATTATCATGAATTTGGTCTTCTTTGTATTCAGTGACAGACCAAATTCTTCACTTGCTTCTACCACTTTGTTTAGTAATCTCTGTAGGTCGTCAATATTTTCTGCTATGAGCGCGGTATCATCAGCATATCGGATATTGCAAATGGGGTGACCGTTGATCTTTACTCCGGCTTTTTCGTTCATAAGAGCTTTTTTAATAACTTCTTCCGCGTAGACATTGAACAAGGTTGGACACAACACACAGCCCTGCCGAACACCTCTTTTGATCTGTATTCTATCTGATATCGAGCTGTTAATTCGTACTATTGCAGCAGTAGATACTGAAATTATAGTACCAAAGTTTTTTTAATAAGCAAGGTCCAGTAGTCAATTTTGGAGTTGGTAAAGCTTGTTTGAGGTTGAAAGTTATAACATGAATATTTTTGTTTACTTTGGATTCCTATACTGCTTGCTTCAGAATGTTTCTCGCTGTTTTTTTTAAGCAACTGGCAACTTTATCCGACCCTCGTTTAGCAATTCCTTTGTGCCAAACAAAAAAGGCTTCCAGGGGATGTTCTTTTTTTATTCAGTTTCCTATTCCAGTATTACGTTTTTGTTTTTCAAGTGTGGTTTTCAAGAGTTCTTACCTTTTTTGACATAGCATTATCATTTTTGTTACTTTATTTAAATATTTGTAGGCCAAAAGTTGATTAAATTTTATTTTCATAGATTATCGTGTTACTTTACAACGAGATCCGATGGTATATTCGATGTGTGGGATGTTCTACAGCACCAAAAGCAAGCTAGCCTTAGCGTGCGAGTATGCGAAGAAAGGCTAAATTGTTTAAAAACACATGATCAAGGTAGACTTGTTGCTATGGGAAATCAAAACGGTACTGCTTACTTGGTAGAACTCAGTGAGAATCTTTCCACTCTTGTTAAAAACGACAAGATGCTGCTGACCTCAGTAAGTATATACAAATGTACTAGATATTAAATTATGTGACATTATTATTAATTAATTACTATTTAACTGGGAATAAGCCACAATTAAAGATAAAAAAATACGTTTAGTGACGTTTCAATTTCCACTTCGGAAATCGTTCTCAAAAATATAAACAGTAAATTAAACACATTTTGTTTTTTGTTACATAGTGAAAAATTCTTCTAATAATTTAATTTTATCTGACTCATTTATATTGACAATTCAGACATACATTATGCATTTTAAAGTAGACGACTTTAAAATTATATTGCCAATATTGTTGAGTTGCGCTCCTGGGACGACTTTACTTATAAGATAGTTCATTCGATTACATGAAATCAACTTTAACTTGAGAATATCTGATTGTTATTGATTCCATAGTAAATTATGAGGGAAAAACCAGGAAAAAAACCTCATAATACTATCCCGACATGGTAAGTATTTGTTCGTGCATTTAGTTTACCTTCAATAAACACCAAAATTCTGTTTTTATATGTTTCGTTATTTAAAAAACATAAATGATGTATCCTCTATATGTTACTGACTTACTAATACTGGTATTTTCTTATTAATAACTTCCTCTTTCAATATTGGTATCCAGATCCTACTACATTCTGCCGAGGAATTTGCGACACAATTGGCCTCATTTAGCATAATTAGAGCCGCTTCTTCGATTTTTCTTTTTTTACCATCCGTTTCTTTAAGACTACATTTGAATTATTCCATTGAACCCTATGTTCATTATCCCATGCGTGTTTACATATTTGAGATCTATCAAATTCTCTATTTTTAATAAAAGATTGATGTTCACTTATTCTAACATTTAATTGCCTTGATGTTTCACCTAAATAAAACTGATCGCATTCACAAGGTATTTTATAAATGCAATTCTTTGTCCTTTCTTGTTCATTGTTAGGTTTGGTTTTGGACAAAATAGATCTCAACGTGTTTGTTGTTTTAAATGTTGTTGAAATGTTGAATTTATTTCCTATCCTTTTAAGTTTTTCTGATAATCCTTTTATGTACGGTATTGTTATTTTCCTCGTATTATTCCTTGTGTATGCTGTAGGAACTCGTTCTAAGTTGTTCTGTTCTATTCGATCGATTGTTGAAAATTCCTTATTTATAAACGATAAAGGATAATCATTTTTTAATAAAACAGATGTTAACAAATGTTTCTCCTCCCAGAACGAATTTTCGATAGAACAAGTAATTTTTGGCTCTATCGTATAAGGATTTAATTATTCCCTTTTTTTACATTAATATTGTGATTTGATTTGAAATTTAAATATCTATTGGTGTGTGTTGGTTTTCTATACACCTGAGTCTCATATCGTCTTGTATCGTTCTTAGAGATTAAAACATCCAGGAAAGGTAGCGTGTTATTATATTCCTTTTCCATGGTAAATGTTATTGTCTCTTCTTTATCGTTTATATCATTTAGGAATGTGTCCAACAACTCTGATCTGTTGATCTGTTGATCTGATCATACTGTGGGTTTTAAATTTTGTTTAGAAATGATATTTGTTTCAAAATCTTCCATAAATATATCGGCTAAGAATGGAGATAAACTAGAGCCCATTGCTAGTTCATTTAAACCTCATAATACTATCCCATTCCTATTCGGGATAGTATTATGAGGTTTTTTTCCTGGTTTTCCCTCATAATTTACTATGGAATCACTAACAGGAGAATTTTACTGTCATCATGTCATGTGTTTGTCTTTTTAAAGACGAATTACATGCTATGATTTTTTTTGACGGATATTCTCATGTTAAAGTTGATTTCATGTAATCGAATGAACTATCTTATAAGTAAAGGCGTCCCAAGAGCGCAACTCAACAATATTGGCAATATCATTTTAAAGTCGTCTACTTTAAAATGCATAATATATGTCTGAATTGTCAATATAAATGAGTCAGATAAAATTAAATTATTATTAGAATTTTTCACTATGTAACAAAAAACAAAATTTGTTTAATTTCCTTTTTATATTTTGAGAACGATTTCCGAAGTGGAAATTGAAACGTCAATAAACGTATTTTTATCTTTAATTGTGGCTTATTCCCAGTTAAATAGTAATTAATTTAAAATGCACAAGAAAATAGCTTCAGAACAATATCATTATTAATATAAATATAAAAAAATTCCAACACATTCTATCAGATATGTTGTATTTAAATTAAATTTTCATCACAAAGTGTTTTTGAAATGGCTTTTATATGTACCACTGACCATCCTGATAAACCAATAACCGATGAGGTCATTTACATGAAAGTGGTGACGTCATTAGTACATTCAATTGCAGCGTACGATGATCATTGCAAACTTATTGAATTTATTCCAAACTAAACGTCCTCACTGTATATTATTATTACGTAATGCTTGTTTTATTTCGTTGGTGGTGGATATTATAAAAATAACTATTCTGGAGAACTTTATTTTCTTTTTTTTAAAACATATAACTTACATTACGGGCTCTAACTAGCGGCCATCATTGTTTTTCTGTCAGTTGTCAGCTTAAGCTGTCTACACACTAAAGTTCATGATCTAAAGCTACATACAGACTAACACAAACAGTAATGTCTAAAATACAACTAGATTCTACTCTAAACATAAAACTTAATTCTTAAATATACAACAATGCTGTTACTGCTAAAACCATGATTATGAATAAACAACTGCACTGGATTATTTTTATATTTCATATTACCAGTAGGTATTCATTTCTAATTATAATCACAAATGTACAGTCTAACTATTCAAACTGTTGTTAAATTTAACCTATAATTAAAATCAAACGTGGTTTAAATCAGAGTGTTATTATAATAATTAATCCGAGCCACATACTGCAAAATGCATACATCGTTTATCACGCATGGTTGCATAATTATATAGGTCATTCTGTCTCTATACTAATTGAATCTCTATAATGCAGAAACAACACATGTCCATTTTTTATGTAAATCTGGTTTTTGGAAGATTATGAGTATATACACGTAATTACATCGTACTACAGCAAAATAACACATGTCCATATTATAGTAACCAACGATAGATTTATTTGATAATCAGCAGAAACCACATGAGTCCTGGAATGTGTGGTTCCTGCTGAGTAAGAGATTAGATGTGCGTGCGTTTGAACAGCTGTGCAATCGGTTATTTCTACGAGAAATTACCTATTGCACATTATCTACGTAACTAGTCGTAACACACTATGTACGTAGATTATGATTGACTTTGTCATAGAAATAACCGATTGCACAGCTGTTTAAGCTCATGCATATCTAATATCTTACTCAGCAGAAACCACACATGTCCAGGACTTATGTTCTTTCTGCTGATTACCAAATAAATACATCGTTGACTACTAGATAAGTTGAATATAGATATGTATTATTTTGCTGTGGTGCGATGCAATTACGTGTGTATACTCATATTCTTCCAAAAACCAGATTACACGTAGTGTGTTTTGAGTTTTGGGGAAACGAGTGTCGAAGTTACTACCCACAAAAAGAGGAAAGCAGTTTCTAAAAATTACCAACGAAATATTACAAAAAAGTCACGTACAAAAGGCGAACCATACAGGAATTACAAGGGAGATAATATTCCTGGTAAACAATTAGTTCCACCTTGCAGGTAATCTTCAGGAATTGAAAGAAAATTTAAGACAAATAGGTAAAAGAAATAATAAATAAGACTTACTCACAATCAACTTAATTTAAATATCCAGACGACCGGTTTCGCTTTCTACAATATGCAAAGCATCTTCAGGTCTCGATACAAAGTTAGATAATTGCTGAAATAATAAAACCCATATTAGGGTGTTGTCTAATAAAGATAAACAAAGATAGATGATATAAATTACAGTAATTATGCCAATATTACATGTCTGTGGTTTTGAAAAATGAATAAAATGTTTAAGCAGACAAGGTAAGACCCACAAATTGGTATAAAATAGTCTATTAAATTGTAACAAATTAATAAATGAACAAATAAATAAAACATTACTTACATGCCGGTACTCTATTAATTGATGGATGGTAGAACATGGTTGAAACTATCAGGTATTGTTGAATGGAGAACCTAAGTCTGCTATTGTAATTGTTTGACAATAAACGGGGAAGTTCTTGAGGAGATAGATTTTATCCAATGAAGTAGAGATAGGTGTAATGTGATTGTTTGTTAGATGAAAGTAATGTTTATATAACATTGAGTTATTTAAAAGTTATTTATATTCATTCCAGAGATATATTTATGAAATGTGTGTTATTTATTGAGATTTTATGTTAGGAAGGTGACAGTTGTATGACAATGTCATTATGACATATGACAATTGTAAAAACACTATTTAAATAATTTTAGATGCTGGAACGGGAAACGAAACGAGAGAAGATCCTTGAAGCTCGCAATAGAGAAATTCGGCTAAAACTAAAACAGCAACAATCTGATGCTAAACAAGATGAACAAGAAGAACAAGATGATCGGGAAGGCAAGGAGGGTGACGAAGAGGAAGAAGCGGAGGAGGCGGGATTTTTGAATAAGACTGTTCGCAACATACAAACCAATTTTTACAATTTGATTGAAACAGAACTGGAAAAACTCAAACGTAAGACTTACTTATTATTTTGTTGTCTTTTTTATTTCATACAATATGTTACTGCGTATTTTTCCAGCTGTGGAAGACACTAAATTTGACGAAGCATCAGATCGGTTGTCAGATGTCGAAGGATCGAAAGGAAGGGATACTATAGAAGATAATAAATCAATCCAATAGGAAAATGCAGAATAAATAAAATTGACAAAATCTAGTCAAAAAATAATTTCAAAGTTCTTAATTTTTTTCTTTAAAAAAGCCAGAAGCCAGATTATATTTTTAGTTTTTTTGTTGCTAATTATATTTTTTTAGTCAATATATACTGCTTTAATTGAAGACGAGGTAATTTACTTTACTTTGAAGATATAATTAATCCATTAGTGCCCAGATTATTTTTTCGCAGTTTTTAATGTGATGTTAAAAGTAATGGATTTTGACAAGAGCTATGAGTCATACCGATTTAGTACACAAGTTTACCTGTTATTTACAAGGTCATAGCTTTTGTTAAAATCCATCACCTCTAATATTTTTTTGGGAGCAGTTTTAACACCTTGACGACGGCACCTCAAAACGCTGTCATTAGTCAGAGCCGAGAGCAACTTTTCATTTATTTTAAGTGTAACTGGATTTAAATTACAAAAAAAAATTGTATTAACTTTAACAATGTTGTTTTTTTACATTTAAATTACATTTGAAACGTGTACCACCGGTGGTACATGACGGCTGTAATGAATAATTATTTACTGGAGCCGACGTGTACCACCGGTGGTACACGGAAGAAGGTGTCTATAAAATAGCTTTTTGTTTCAGATTAGCCAGTAGAAATGTCGTCTAGAGGGAAAAAAATAATTGCGTTGGTCTCCGCCGACACAGAAAATAACGAAGAAAAACATGAAAATCCTCAAGACGCTACTTCTACGTCACTAGAAAATGTTGAACCTTCAGCAACATTATCCCAGAACATAGAGCCACTAGTGTATCCTTCAACATCAGCTGCTGTTTCTGTTACCTCTTCGGAAGAATCTGATCCCTTTGCAGATTCAGAAGAATCTTATGTTCCCAGTGATAGTGGCCAAGAGGAATCAGACGTCGAGCCATCTAGCCAAAACTCTGATGAAGAAGTAGATGCAGTGACTGCTCAGTCGGATAATGAAATATTTATGCAGAATCGTGGTAAAGAAAGTGACACATGGAGTGCATGTGAACACATTCCAGTGAGTTTTCAGTTCTCTGGACAGAGTGGTGTAATTGTAGACACTATAAACTTGGCGAAACCATATGACATTTTCAGACAGTTTGTAACAGATGAAGTACTTGATGTGATTGTTTCAGAGACAAATCGTTTTGCGGAGCAATATTTGAGATCCCATGTACTGCGCCCCCGTTCAATGTACCGGAAATGGAAAGAAACAAATCGTAATGAAATAAAAAAACTCATCGGCATAATTATAATTATGGGCATAAATCATTTACCCAAAATGCGCTTATACTGGAGTAGCAGTGAAATGTTTGGTAACAAACTTATTCAACAAACTATGACACGTGACCGATTCGATACACTGTTGAAATTTTTACACTTTGCGAATAATGAAAATCCTGCTGTCAGTAGTGATCGATTGGGCAAAGTAAAAAATATTGTTGATCTCATCTGTAATCAATTTAAAAAGACAGTTTCTCCTGGCGAACAAATTGTAATAGATGAGTCGATGGTGCCTTGAGAGGCCGACTAGCCTTTCGACAGTATTTGCCTGCTAAATCCCACAAATACGGAATAAAACTTTACAAAATTTGCACAACAGAGGGCTACACTTATGACCTTAGAATATATGCAGGGAAAAATAATCCGAATCCACCCATTACATCTTATGGACACACTTATGACATCTGTATGGACTTACTGCAAGGATTACTGAATGAGGGCCGAACGTTATATATAGATAACTTCTATACTAGCGTTCAGCTTTGTAGGTCTCTTCTAGAAGCTAAAACGTACGTGTGCGGCACGTTAAGATCAAATAAACGAGGAGTTCCAAAATCAGTTACTCAAAAAAAATTACGAAAAGGAGAGATTTACGGCGAACAAAATCATAACGGCGTACGTGTCGTAAAGTGGGTAGACAAACGTGCCGTTTTAATGATAAGCACTGTTCCAAGCCACATCTGTGATCTACAGGCTACTGGAAAGCAAAATCGAAGAGGAGAGGACATTCTCAAACCTCCTGTTGTGATTGCTTACAACAAAGCTAAAAAGGGGGTAGATATATCAGATCAAATGTCTGCGTATTATACCTGTTTGAGAAAAAGCCTAAAATGGTATAAAAAAGTATTTGTGGAAGTTGTTTTGGGCACAGCTATGGTGAACGCATGGATCATTTTCAATGATTCAAACCCAAACAAAAAACTTCACATGTTGGAATTTAGAGAACTAATTGCACGTGAGTTATTGTCGGGCATTTCTGAAACTATGGAAGCAGTGGAACCCACACGAACAAAGTCTCGTAGCAGTATGACTATTCATAAGCTGGCAAAATACGAAGGAAAAGTACGTGACAACCGCAAAAGGTGTGTCTCTTGTTACGAGAAATTGCAGGAAGCTGCTGGTAGTGCTCATGCGAGAAAAAAAACTAAACGTGTAAATACTTTCTGTCAGGATTGTCCAAACAAACCTGTATTATGTTTAGAATGCTTTAATGAAAAACATAAACGTAATTCATGTTAATTTTTTTCGCTTTTGTTTTAATTTTCATATAATTAGTTTTAAGAAATATAAGAATAATAAGTTTTTTGATTTTCAATATTTGTTGTCATATTAGTTAGTAAGCTAAAGTTTTTATTTTTGTTCAGAATTATTTTAATTTTAATATTTTTAAATTGGAAAATAAAAATAATTATTATTTTTGTGTCCGCTCTTTATTGTCATGTTCTAATCATAATAATAACCGAGTGCGCCACCGGTGGTACACTGATGTACTTATACCTTTTATATAGCCGAGGACTGAATATTGAAAGCTTCACTTAAATCTGGTTGATTTTATATCACGTTAACTCAATATATTACCATGTACCACCGGTGGTACACGACGGCTACAAATAAAATACAGCATGTACCACCGGTGGTACACGTCGTCGCCAAGGTGTTAATAAAAAACATAAAAATAAATGTATTTATGTAATTCGGATTTATAAATCACTCGTGCAAAAAAATACAAAGTAGGGATTTCAACATTTTGGTTTTTGTGATTTTTTTAAACAAACCATACTGGTGGGATAATGAAATAGAGGAAGAAATAAAAGACAACCATACCAACAATATTTAAGCTCCAAATCATTACAAGACACATTAAAATATAAAAAAAAACAAGCAGAAGTACGAAGCAAAATCTCTAAGAAGAAGAACGAGTCTTGGGAAGGAAACAGCCACGAATAAATACTTATTAGTAGTAAATCCGAATAAAAAGTACTCTAGTACTCTGTGTAAGAACTAGAAGCACAATTCGCTAAGGATTTCTGCTTAGTTGTAAAAGACATGTCGTGGAATGCAAATTTTAGATTCCCCATGTCTCTTTTAACATCTTTTATCAACGTCTGTTTGCCTTGCAATTTTTAGAAGGCTTAGACTATAAGCAGAAATCTGAATTGTGTTTCGAAACTATTTTACGGATTTGTAATTAGATGTCGCTAGCGCGTCCGTATTGAAGCCATGTTATTGTTGCTTCTTAAAAGGCAGAAAATATTGATTTTTCACGTTGAGAACTCCTATGAATAGCTGTTCTGACCAGACCTATTAGGTCGAAATACGTATCAACAGATACATAGGATTTGTTTGCGTGAAATCAAATATTTGCTGCCTTTTTTCAACTGATTTATTAGTTTATTTAAATTCAAAATAGTCTTGTACTATTGTTCTTATTCTCCCGTAATTGCTAACATTTAATCAAAGCTGCTCCCAAATAATTTCAATTCCAGCATTATTACAATATTATGCATTTGTCAAAGATTTCATATTCTGGGACTTACATACAATACAGAAACACTTTCAAAAAACGACAAAAATTGTTACAAAGTCCTAATACGGTTCCTACTTTTTCTACTGGCGCCACTGATCTCCAGACGTATCTATAACATCTCGTTAGCGGAAAAAGAATGTAAGGAGGCTACGACTCTATTTACCGGTTGGAAGAACATTGCATATTTTCTAGACAATAATAATATTTTATACTGTTTTTAATTATACTAAATAAAGATTTCCTGGTAGTTGTGTATCCCTAACTGCTCTAAAGTGCAATTATTGTGACAATTACATTGAGTACAATGTTTAAATAAACACAGAATAAGTATCATTGTTTTTTATATACAAATTTTAATAAAAAACTGTTGAAACTCAGGCCCGAACTTGCCCAAAAGGCCGACTTACAAATCTAAACTCGTTGGTGGAATTCCAATGCAAATAAAGTCAAAGTTATTTTAGTCCATTTCAAATATGTATAAGAAATAAGAACAAGACTTACTCACAATCTATTTAGAGTGGAACTTGGTTATAGTGTCATTGAAGGGTCCAATAAAAAATGACGCTATATCAGAGTGACGTTAAAAAAGAGGTTGAGAAAAATAAAATTTTAATGAGGGAAAATATTATTACAGCATTATTGGGTATAGTAGATATATTATTTGTTAATTACTCTGGGCCTAAACATGATAATTTAACATAGTTTACGATATACCGAAAATATAACATTTACTTAAGTCAAACTTAAAAAAAAACAAGAATCATTTTAGGATAAAAAACAATTAAAAAACAAAACATGTTATGTATGTATATGAAACTTACATTGTGTAAAAAAATTCTATTGCTGAAAAAAGTCCGGTATTTTCTTTTGCACAACCCTTTCCGAAAAAATAAAGTTTTTCTGTTGTTTCCTTAATAAGCTGAGCTGCTTCTTTGGTATTTGTGGATTCCTCCCTGAACTGGTAAAACCTGGATATGGTCTTAGCAGCTCTATCATTTAGGACTTGAAATGTTTCCACCTCTTCGTTTACTGAAATGTAGGAGTCAAGATCAGTTCCGAACGCTCCCTGATTCACATTAAATTTTTGTATCCACTCTGACAAAGACATTTCGTCATCTTTATCAACGTCCTCAACATTGAGAGAAGTTACAGTCAATTTTGCTTGACGAAAACACTTATGATTGTCACTGACGTAACCGCACTCCACGCATTGTCTAAAAACTGAACAGCATCCAGGATGGTAATGTTCACGTTCTCCATTATCCATACAAAAAATCATTCTTTTTAAAAGCTGTTTTCGATAATGACACTTTAAACTTCTTATGACTCCCTGGTC